GCAGCGCGTCCGTGAGGAGACGGAGCGATGCGCTCGTGTGCAGGTGGTGCCGAGTGGATGGTTACATCGCAGGATCGTGAGGGGGTGGCAACGGTTGAGGAAGCCCTGCGTCCAGCAGTGGATTGATCATGGCTGATGATGATGAGAGACAATTTGAGACGACTTAACAGCTCTCTTTCAAGGGAGACCCGGGGCAGGAAGTTAAAACAGAGTAAAGAAATACAGCGCAGTCACAACACACTGGTGACAAATTATAAAAGTAATCGTACCTTGACATGCACGGCCATTGTTGTTGATGCACTGTTGGATGAGGGCCTCCCAATGCCGTGGGGGTTACGCCAACGAGCATACTTCACCACGCCGGTCACTGCCACTCGGTGAAGGTGGGGGGAGTGTAGACAATTTGAGCTCGCGGATTGTTCTGCACTGCCTCTGCCGACAGCGGAGCCGCCACAGCGGCCTATGAACACCACAGCGGCCTGTGAACACCACAGCGGCCTGTGAGCACCACAGCGGTCTGTTAGCACCACAGCGGCCTGTAAGCACCACAGCGGCCTGTAAGCACCTGTCCTCGGCTTTGTGGTCACCCCTCGGTGCACTACAACATAGGTCCCTGAGATCTGATGACTTCAGGCACTTTCCGGGTGAATTGGTCATCAATTCATAGCAACCACAAGCGAAAAGTTTCCAGAGCAGTAATCGTGACAACAAAACACTGCGGAGACTGATTTAGGATCAGCAGAAAATCCTCCGGAGCTGTTCCGCGCATGGCGGAGATACCGTGGCTGAAAGACGGTTGCGCCTCGCCGTCGCGTCCACTCTCTGTACACCGCATCGGAGATTTGGTTTTGGGGGGGGGGGGGGGGGCATGCCTTTAAATCGCGAGCGATAAAGGTGACAATAATCCCATCGCCACACCGACAACACCACGACGCACTTTGCTGTCCGTACAAAGTGGCGCGCGGCCGCGAGAAGTGGCTGCTCTGTGCCCACCTTTTTTCGTCTCTTAATTATCACTCGTGTGGCCCTTGCTCGGTTACGGTAACATTGGGGGGGGGGGGAGGGAGGGTGCGTTAGCACAGCTTTATGAGTTGAGGCCATGGTGGGAGGGGGGGGATATTTTGTGGGAAGGCGAAGAGGAAGGGGGGGGGGCACGGATGCACGGCGGAGGGGGAAGGTGGCGAGGTGGAACAGCTTTCATTTCGTCGGGAGGAAGCAGCACCCCGAGGAAGGTGGCTATGGCTGTGGCCGCAACGGGGGGTGGACCGGGTCAGCACGAGGAACTTTTGCGGCTCGTGCCCAAAACCCGGGGGCGCGGGCGGGGAGGCATGGAGCTCGGAGGATGTTCGTCAGTCAGGGGCGCACGACAGCAGAACGCGCGTTTGCCTGGTTGGGAGGGAAGTGTGTGCGGAGCGCGTGGTGTAATTCCAACCATCCCCCATCCTCCATCCTCTTCCCTGCCGCCCTCCCCCCCTGCCCAGTAGCAGCAGCAAAGACCCCGTTCTTGATTCCGCTCGCCCTGAGCGGCATCTTCCGCGCCGAATTTCAGCTCCATTAGTCGGAAAGCGCACGGCGCCTCCTGTAATGTGGCAGCGCGGGATTGATATACTCAACCGTGGCTTAATAATCAGCGGTGCCTCCGTGCGGGACCGGTTTTCATAAGTCACGAACGCTTTTGTTGACATTAACCCATTCATCTGCAATTCCGCCAATGTCAGGAGCCGAAACTGAATTTGACACCAGAAGCCGGCGCTCGTGCGTGCGGGCGGGCGGGCGGGCGACGGCGCGCGGCGGTTGCCACGACCCCCAGCCTTGTGAATGCCGCGACGTGGCTTTGGATTCTTGTCCGTGTGCAACACCGATGGCAAGTGCTTTTCGAACCTGTCCTGGGTATCGTGCCCTAGGTACGCTCAGCCCTCAACGAATACCTGCTACAGCGTGCGAGAAACGCACGCCGGCGAGGCAAAGGTGTGGTACTGGTCACGCTACCACCACCACCACCACCACCACCACCACCACAACCTCCTGTCCCACGCTGCCCCTCAATAGGTGCTCACTAACATAACTTACCTCTGTACTCCACGAGGCTACTAAATAGGGGATCTTTTGTCCCTCCTCTTTCTCGATCAGCGGTCGCTGTGGAATGCGTTTCGAGGGCGGTGTCTTTTTTGGCCGTCGCGGCAGAACTTTTGCGGAGCGGCAGCGGGCGGTAGCATCGCTGTCAGAGGCGGCGGTGGCGGCGGCGGCGGCACGCGGGGAACGAGCGCGGTTACCCTTGCCAAGGCCGTTGAGGGGTTTCTTTCGAGCGGCCCCTGCAACCTGATGGGTGGAGGGAAGAGAGGGACGTTCGCCCGCCGAGGACGCTCTTCTCGCGCCGCTCATCGCGAGGCCATTATCGCTCCTAAGTGGCCACTCGCTGAAATACGTCGGGGGGGACCGGCTTTTTCTTAAAGAGGGAGCCGTTTCAAGTTCCTGGCCGGCGGTGCTGGAAGACACGGTAAATAAATAACCCGCGCACAGCGAATGCATCTCCGCTCCGCGTCAAAGAAGGTGTGGTGCGTCTCTATTTGCTCGCACGGCGGCTGTCGAACAAAATCTTTTCGGGCGCCTCCACCCGTTCTGCTCCGGCGAAGTCAAACGATGCGAGTGGCGACGGAGGAAGCGCTCCGCTCTCCGATCGCCCCCGTCGCGTGGCTGCCTCTGCTTCGCCCGTCAGCTCGCTCGCTCGCCCGCCCGCCCGTCTGCTTCTTACCCGAGAGGTGCTCAGGGGCTCACGCCAGCCCCTGCCTGCGAATCGCTCGATTTTCGTAATTCTCGCCAGATTTTCTGTTTTTTTGCGATACCCATTTCTTTTTTTTTGTTTTAGCACGTTCTCGTTTTCTTTCCTTTCGGCATGAGTCGAAAATAAAAAACAATGATGGGCTGTCGCGTAAACAAGGTCACTTCCCCTTCAAGCCAGCAGAAGCGTGAGGTTTCCTGTCGTGAGTTGTTAGGGGGCGGCAGTGGCTGTGGCGGTGGAAGGGCCAGGGGCAGGGAGGGGGGTGCGGCAGGCCACGTTGGGCCATTGGGGGGGGGGGCGCCGGGTCGATGGAAGGAGGGGGGCACGGTGGGGGGTGGGGGGAGCTAGGGGCGAGGGCGCAGGGGATAGAGTGGCTCCAGGAGGGAAAAGGAAAACAAACTCGTCACAACGGATTGACAAATTCCATTAGGCCAAACAGAAAAAAAAATTCCATTTCATCACAGCTATGTATTGTTTACTTTAGCAAGCTAGCAGGGGCCGTGGACAGTGCTGAAATATGAAGCGGGCTCGCTCCCCCAGAGACTCTTCTTCTGGGGCTGTCTTAGGTAAAAATCCCACTCCTTCAGTTTTTCCAGCAAAGTCGTTCTTGTTTTGAAACCCGTGACAGTTTTTTTTTGTGTTCGTCCTCTTTCCTCCCTCCGTTGTTTTTTTAATTATTTCCTTAAACCATGAAGTGCGCTCTTTGAGAATGCTGCTGTTTGTTATTGCAGAATGAGGACGGCAACAGACGAGGTAGGGCTGCTGGGGTTGGGGGTGGTGGTGAGCACTTAAAGAGAGTTTGTACGGAGACAGTTTGGTTTGTGACTTAACAGACTGTCCTGCTGAACAAAAAAATAATAAGAGTAACATTGTCTTTGGGGGGTGGGCGACTTGGGATATAAGCATCATATAGTCTAGGTTTATATAATAAGGAATTAAAGCTCAATCTACCGCTGGATAAGAGGACCTCCCTACGTGGTGTTGGTCACGAGGGGGCGGGGGGTTGTGGGTAGTTTGGTGCAGTGGGAGTGGGTCAAGGATCGGGTCAAATGCAATCCAGTACCACCGATGTCAGCCGCGTCAGGGAACCGAACTCGGGCGGCTGCGTTCATGGCATAGCGCGCGAAACCGTCGTGCCGCCGGGCCCACCCCCGGTTTTGGTTGAGCAAAAATGTATCAAGAAGATACAAAAAATTAATCTGAATTCCAGTCGCTGAAATGTGGAGGTCACGCCACTGTGTTCTTGGCCACCTTGTGGACACGTCCAGGGGCTCGCGCCGCGAGGAGAGAGGCTCTCGCTGAGCTGTAGCGTCAAGAGCTCCGGCTCGCTGTGTCACCGTCTGTGGTGTACAATGCACTTTCTCGTAACAGATAAAGTGTCGGCAAAAATATAAGTCTGTACAAAGCAGTGAAGGAGGGGGGGGGGGGGGGACTGCGCTTACTGTGGTGGTAGGAAGGAGTTGGGGGGAGATAAATTGGGGGGGGGGGGGGGGGTAATTCCATGCCCTAGCTGGGATTCCTTCTTTACTCCGGACAAAAAAAAGTGTTAATTCTCTTGGATTTTTGTTAACTGTTCAGATACACTGACACAGCACTCACAAACTGGTCTCTCGCATTTATATATATATTACAGCTGTCAAAATTGCCAATTCTTTCACAAAAATGCGTCCATATTTCCGCGTAGAATTTAATATTAATTTCTTAAAAAATGTTTCCTATGGCTCTGACTCGTGTTCGTTTATACCCAGATTAATTTAACGCTTTGGGTAGCAGCGTCTTCTGTTGAAACATCTGTTTCCAATTATGCCCCATCCTCGGGATCCAAAGGAAGGCTTCACGAAATAGCATGCGATTATAAAATAAGAAAAGGATTGTCAGATCGGTATCTGAGCGGTGCACGCACAGAAGCCCCCAGCCCGCCAGCTCGGTTCCCTATTCTGCGGCTCGGCCTTCTCAAGGCGCGCGCGCGTGCGATCATCGGCTTTATGAGTCTGTTTGTCCGCACGAAGGTCAGACGCCTCGGGGACCTAACAGGACAGTTAGGCCTCTTAATTCAGTGCTCATAGCCACTCACACGCAAGGCGAAGGGGGAAGGAGGTGGTGCGTTGCGGGGGGGGGGGAAGAGGAGAGAAATTGTAGGTGGGGGGGGAGAGAGAAAGGAAGAAACGGGGGAAAAAAAGGCAGGCGAGCAAAGCTTTGCTCTGCGGCCGCCAACGCCGGCGGAGGTAAAGAAAGGTGCTCTGCGCGCGCGTGCGGCGAGCGCAGAGCGGAGGGAGGCTCGCCGCGGCCGTGGCGAGGGCCGAGCACGAGGTTTGCGGCCGTAGCTGAGAAACGCGAAGGCGCGAGAGAGATCGAGAGAGTGGCAGCAACCCCCCGTGTCACGGTGTTGCCAGGAGCCGCCGGTGCACACACTCCTCTCTCTCTCTGTCTCTGTCCATCTCCTCCGCTCAGCGGAACATGGCGTAGCAGCCGACCGACCGACCGAACGACCGAGGCAAGTTCGCTCAAAGCGGTCCGGGTGCACGAGGAAGGTGGGTCGCGCTGCAAATCGTTTGAAGTTCCGTCGCTGGTGCCAAAAAAGAAAGTGGCGAGCCGCCTTTTGCCAGGTTTTTTTTCTTTCGTGTGTGCACGCGCGTGCGTTTTGTCGAGCGGCTCAAGCACTGATATTTCTCTGCCCCGCAGCATTGGCATAGTTTTGTCTGCTTTTATAAACATAAATGTTTATTTTAAATTTCGTTGAATGCATTTAGAATGATATATATTTTTTTCTCCCCCCTCTTTTAAATGTGTAGTTTGCTTTGATTTGTCCATTTTGTTTTAGCCAGACATTCTTTCAGCATTATTCACTTGAATGTACTTTATTTGTTTTCTTGGCTGACTGACCCGTCTGCTTGCATGCCCCCAAAACTTACCGCAGCTTTTTTTTTGTCTCGGTTTTAACCCACCCCTCCCTCCTCCTCTCTCACCCTTCAAATTCACTGACACGTTTTTTGAACGTCGTCATTCCCGTCTGCCTGGGCCCCAAATTGCCTTGATCTGAAGCGGCGCTACAGCCGTCGCCGCCGTTCGAGACTTCGACAAAAGCTTCGAGGCTTCTAGGGTAGAGGTGTCAGCCTTTGCAGCCCCATGAACTATATCGTCATTTTTCTTAACGCTATTACCGCTTTCGGTTTGGTGCGCGCAGTCAATGCTGTGTTTACATGCATTTGTGTTTTTTTTATTCCGGCAGAAATTTTTTTATTTGAAAAGGTCAGAAAAATGCGCCTCTTCTCATCCCCCCAGATCATCTACCCTGCTGTCTGCTTGTTTAACTACGAGTCAGTATATCGTTCCCTCGATCTGGCGTTCTTTTCCCCCGCGCTCCTCTATTAACCTTCCTGATCTTCGGGTGTTTGTCATGTTAAGTGCTCTAAATTTTGCAAGTTGCTCTTTTTTTTCTCAGTCATCATTTGTGTCCTCAGACTGCCACACTTATCTCAATAAAAGCGATTACCCTTGGTGGCACAGAGACAACGCGCACACACCCGCGGGCGGGCGGGCGGGCGGGCGGCTCTCTGCGTACGCACGTACGCACGCACACGCGCAGACACGCACGGGCACCCTGCTTATCTCATCTCCCATCACATCAGTAAAAAAGAAGGTACTCTCAATCTGCCCGCTGCGTGTTTCTAATACCGCCGGTAATTCCCATTACCGATGTGACACGTTCACGTCGTTCACGGGCAGCACGCGGCCCTCCCCCCCCCCGCTCTTCTCGCCGTGGCGCTCGTTCTCCATCAACTGCTTCATCCCCCCCGCCCCCCCCCCGTCCGCTCTTTAACCCGCGGTATCGTCCCGGCTGCACGTGTCGCCTCTTTTCCGTGCATTTTTTGTTGCTGCTCCTTTCCCCTTTGCCCCAATCGCGGCTGCCACATGCGACGCGGGTCCCCCTTGGCGGAGACCGCCGAGCGCGCACGCGGTCGGAGCGCTTTCCGCGGTTCCCGCCGCCGGCTTCTGATTGCGCGGCGGCGTCGGTCTGATTTGCCGCGCGTCTCTTAGACCGCAGTCCCCTCGTCCCCCCCCCCTCCCCTGCCTCCCCCCCATGGGATCCCGTGGACAGATTTAATGAATGATATTTTAATGTACGTCGGTTCGCGTGTTGTGTGCGTGCGCGTGTTTTCCCCGTCGACGCGCGTGCCGTCGAACGATCCGGCTTTAAGCCGCTCGCTTAAAAGCACTTGTACTGCAAAATTATGGGGAGCAACAATTTCATTAGTGATCGACCACTACCGTGTCGAAACGATTAGGACAGATCCCTACAAAATAAGGGTCCCGGCGGACGGGAACTCGCGCGGCGGGCGTGCGATATTTAATCGAACATCGTCACCTTGCGGAAACTATTTGTGGAGCGTCGTTGATGAAAGCCACCGTTTGTGTGTTTACCAATGTATTTGCCTGTTTTTTTTCTAAGTGAAACAGATACAAAAATAATAGGTTTTAAAAATAGTAATGATGATAAAAGGCCAAAGTTTTTATTCGTAGATCATTTCGAATGGAGACCAGAGTTCATCGCACGCTCGTAGGCTTATAAATTAGACAGTAAATTATTAGGTATTCTGACAATTCAGAAATTAAATACGTACATCCATAGAAATTTATTTTAGTAATAAAATGCGGACACCCCAATGATATCCTGTAAAAATACAAATTGTACGTATACATTTAAGTTTACGTACATTTGTTTGCAGTTAGCTTTACTAAATCGCAATGATTTCAGCGTTAGAACCGGTTGAACATCAGGAAATTATGCTGCCGTTTCAGAGGCTAAAATGAACGCATCATCCATCGCTCTCAAAGTTTCCCCGGTCCACAAGTTCCGTTTGAACGCCAAGACACCCCTCCTCCCCCCCAGAAAAGAGCCCTTTTTTACCTTTCGAAAATATCCACCGATTAACTTGGACGATAAAAATCACGTGAAGGTCATTTTGCGATGGTGCGTACGCGTGGTGGTGGTGGTGGTGAAAAAAAAAACCCCGTGATAACCACACGCCACACACGCGGTGAAAAATTAGGCCGATCTCATGGCAGGGCTCGCCGGAATAATTACGTTGTTTCCCCGTCAAATTGATGTGTCCATTAAACGATGACTGATGCAGCCAAAGGGAGACTGTTGGCCGGCTACATAAATCGCCGCGCCTTTATAAGAGGAGCGGGGGGGGGGAATAAAATAATGTAAAAGGGGAGAGAAAAAATCACCGCGAGGAGAAATCATAAATAGCAGCCGGGAGTCTGCTGACCCGGGCAAGCATAGCCACGGCAAATTGCTTGACGTCAGGGTCTGGGCTGCCGGGGGGGGGGGGTTCCATGGCATTGGGGGGGGGGGGGGCAGGGAGAGAATGATAAAATAATTGTCAGTAGGGAGACGAACTTGGCATTCAAGGTGAGCGAGTGTTTAGAGGGACGTGGCGTAGTAGTGGCTCGGAGGGGTGGGCGGTCGTGCGGGCAGGCAGGCGGGCGGGCGTGAGCGGTGCACGGGGCGGGCGGAACGGGAAGGCGGGCAGGTGCTGATCCGTCGTTGAGTCTCCTTTGCGAGCGCTCTTCAGCGCCGTCCCGAGCGAGGGGGCTTCGGCGTGCGTCCAGCGGGCTCCGTCGCGACAAGCGTTCTCGGCCTCCAGGGCGTGGTGGGGGAACAAAAAAACAAAGTACTCGTCTCTCTTCCCAGCATGCCTCTGTGCTAAATCGGGTAAATTTTTTTCTGTTATAATTACTTTCATCCTTATCCATGCGAATGTGAAAGCCATCCCTTTCTCTGCGCGTGTACGTGCGCGCGCGTGTCGGCTGTAGGAGGCAAGTGCTGTTCGCGAGAATCTACACCGTGCTCGCTGACAGCACTTGCTCCTGCATTCTGTTAGGGCTATACGGGGTATCTCTGCCTTTGTAGATGCATGTTTAGAAGATTTTGATCGTTCCACGTGTGCGTGCGAATTACGTGTGCGCGCGCGTGTGCTGCTGCAGAGCTGAGCGGATACTTCTCCGATTTAAAAACATCAGTTCGCTGTGGGGTTATTGGCAAGAGGAATGCGAAAGTGCTTAACCTTGTTAAACCCCTTATTAACAAGAGCGCCGGGCTCGAGCAAACGGTTAATGTGCTTTTGACAATACACGTCCGCGCGGCAACCGAAGCCGACGATACTTTCACGTCTCTTTTAGGAGGAGCACAACCCGAGGGGCGGCTTTCCCCCAGCCGAGGCAAATGCAAGAAGTGTTTTGTAAAGCGAGGCGGCTGTTTGTGGACTTCGTTGTTTCGAGGCCACCGTTGAAGGCAAAGGTGTTTCTTCTAGATTTGAAGCTTTCGTGACTGCAAGGATTCATACTCTTAATTCTTTCGGTAAAGTCACGTAGGTAAAAAATTAAATTAAAATTTATAAAAATTAAAACAATAAAATCACGTGATTTATTGTTTTATTTTTATTAATTTTAATTTAATTTTTTTACCTACGTGACTTTACCGAAAGAACTAAGAGTACAAAGGTGTTTCGGAGCAGCAAATCTTTTGAGGTTCATTTTAGGCGGCCAAGAAAATGTTGACGTCGGCTTCCCGTGCAGCGAGATTGTCTTGTTTTTAAATAAGCGATTAAACTTGCGAAGCTTATCACGGCACGGGAACTTTCATTCGGAGAAAATATAACAGCACGAAGTATTTTCCTCCTAAATTTCGTGGCAAAAGAAATAATGATAGCTATACATTTATTGCGAAATCAATGAAGTGAAAGTTCGACGCGAGCGTCGCGTGCAGTCCGTTCATTAATACATTAAAATGTGAAGTTTAAACGATTCACATATGGTGACAGTTCGCGCACAAAACTTGATGGTTTAGAATGTTATTTTGAAAAACACAGGGTGGAGAAGAAGAACAACTACCGTATTGTGGAATTTTGAATGGGTACATCCCGACCGGCACATGGATTTTTCTTATTTTTTTTCATTGCTGATTTCCCCCCCTCCCCTACACCCTCCCACCAGCACGCTTCTCCGTCTCTCTCTCTCCCTTTTCCTAAATGACTGAAAGATAATTAATAGGCTGCTCCGTCAGTTTCAAGGGAACAGAGGCATGATTGGGTGAGTGGTGGGAAGGCTGGCGAATGGAGAGTGGCGTGGTGGGGAGGGGGTGTGGAGTTGGGTGAGCTTGAGGGAGAGGTGTGGTGGTGGTGGTGGGGGTCGATAATAATACAATCGAGAGGAGACCAGAAGCAACCTCCCTCCTTTCGGCTGTGCATGAATATTACCGGCCATTTCATCATCAGTTTCCCTCGCCACGACAGCAGGCCGTTATTTCATAATTAATACGCCTGCAGAGTAATGAGCTCCCGTCATTAGTGGAGTGGCAGGATTTGCTTGGACGTGGGGGCATTTTTTTTACCCCTCCTTCATCTCTTCTTCCCTCTCTCCCTCTCAGTCCCTTTCACTCCGCTGTGCTTCAAGTAATTTACACAGTGCCCCACGCTCTCTCCTCTCTCTCTCTCTCCCGTAATGGAACTACAGCGCGATAAAA